TGTGCCAAGCAGATTTGGTTACCACTACAGATCTTCAATCTGGAATGTTTTTATTGTCTCATGTAAAATTAGGGTTGGTGGACTTACGCGCTTATGTTGGCTCAGTGGTAATGAAGATGCGGAGGTGTATGCGGACCAGGGGAAGGTGGCGGTGCTGCGGTGGCGTTGCGCCCCCAGGCCGGCATCCCTTTTACGGCGGGTCCTCAAACTATAAATAACGCGCAAGATATGTTGCTGACGTGAGGGACGGGCTCAGCCGAAGCGGAAAGGGCGACACCGTGGCAGTGCCTCCGAAATTGGTCGAGAAAGCAACAGGTAATTTCGTCGGTCGCAAATAAGGGGTGGTTTTCGGTCCTTGACGGCGCTGAGGGGTGGCAGCACCATCGCCACCACCACCTTGACCACTAGGGTAAGTCGTATATCGCTTATTTTCGATTCTTGGGTTGTAATAGTGTTTTCTAGGCGCCATTTTGGATGAAAACTCCTGGAAACATTTTTTAAGTTTTTTTCCTTTACCGTTTTCGTAACCCTACCTTGCCTGTTATTCTGGCCTGCCATAAGAGGTGGTTTTGAAAACTTTAATTTTGGGCGTATTTTTTTCTTGACTAAACACGCAATTTTACGGCCCTCTGGGTGAAAATTTTAAGGAGAAGGCTCTATCTCTGCCAGTTTGCATGATATGAATTGTTTTTATATTGCTGTAAATAAGCAACCTTTTCCCTTCCAATAATAATTTGTGGCTCGAAAACCGGCTGAGATAGACCCTTATCCTTAAAATTTTCACCCAGAGGTCCGTAAAATTGCGTGTTTAGTCAAGAAAAAAATACGTCCAAAATTGTTGTTTTCAAAACCACCTCTTATTGCAGGTCAGAATAACAGGCAAGGTAGGGTTATGAAAACGTTGAAGAAAAAAACTTTAAAAATGTTTCCAGGAGTTTTCATCCAAAATGGCGCCTGGAAAACGCTATTACAACCCAAGAATCGAAAATAAGCGATATACGACTTACCCCATTGACCACCTCCACCCGGAACACCCCTCTTACGTCGTTCTCTGGTTTCATTTCTGCCCCTTCCCACCCACATCCAGCCCGTGATCATGCCTATTCAATTTCACAAAGCAAAAAAATACATCAATCATTATCTCCTCTCTCACCCACCGTCACTCTTTCACCCTCACCTCGATCAATATCACCCATCAACTCATACCTGGACATTCCATCGCATAACCAGCAAACTACTTTTTACGCAGATTGTGATATGACTAATGGCCTCAGCATGGCCGAAGTACAACTTGGGTATCATAATTTTAATGTTAATTGTTATGCAATAAAGCATTCTGGTAAAGCTGAAATGCAGAAGAATGCGGTGAAGAAAGAAAACGGAAATCACCATTCTTGAGCGCGGCGACTTCCGTTTTCTTGTTCCTCGCATCCTTGCGCATTTTAGCTTTACCGGAATGCTTTATTTGTACTCTTAAGTTTATTAATTTTAAGTACTTACATTTTTATAATTTGTCACTCATTGAGAGATGTATATTTTTTTTCTTTTGCTTTGCGGTGCTGGATACAAGCAATAAATTTCCATGAACAAAACCCCCTGTTCTGCTTAATCCCTCCCGCCCTCCACAGCCGGCCGAAGCAAAAATAATGACTAAGTGTAACAAGCAGGCCCGAAAGTTCCGTAGGACTCTACTTTGACGAGTTACCCCTTAGGAGCTCTTAAAGAAAATATTTTTTTTCTGAGTCTTTTGACCTACCCCCTTTTCTTTGATACCCCCTTTCAGACCCTTAGGGTTGGTTGCCAGGATTTGCCGTAGGCGTTTCGTTTTCTAGGAGTGAACCTTAAGATACCCTGAAAATTTGAAATCTGTAGCACATCTCCTTCTAGTGGAACAGACAGACAGACAGACACACAGACACACAGACAGACACACAGACATACACGAGGTCGTTTGCATAAGCCCGCTGGATAGCTTTTTCAAAGCAGAAAGGCGGGCTAAAAACTACTTGCGGGCTGACCCTAAAAGGCCCTAAACTGCACCCATTTAAACGGGCCGCCAAAGTCATGATGTCATTGTTTGACGCGCGCCTATTGGTCAGAGGGAATGTGGCAACGCTGCAGAGGGGCCAGCGCGACTTCGTCGTTATGTGGGGATTGTTTGGCGGAGTTTTTGTGGAGTTTTTCAGCATTTTATGACATGCAATAATACCCCGATGTCCGCCGAATGTCCGCCAATTTTTCCAACGCTATTTCCTGGTGTTTTGATGAGAAAATTCGTCGTTATCGAGCTGATATTTCTATGTTGGCAGCGCTAAGAAATATCGGTGAAATATCGCTATTCATAGGTACATGGGATTTTAACACTTAGTACTTTACAAACCAGGAGATCCGTAACTTATTAGTTAACTGCCCCTTACGTTATTTTAAGAGTTGAAGTAATAACTTGCATAGTTCCGAGGGCTGGAATATTCCCTATGGAATATTCCATAGGGAATATTCCATAGGGAATATTACATTGGGAATATTTCATTGGGAGTTTTGGAACATTCCATAGAATTCCACTGCCCCCAAATGGAATATTCCCGTATTTTTAACAGATTTACTCTTTACGCACTCTAAGTTTATTTTAATTGAGTTACGGGCCCATTTTACAGATCACCCACATCGAAAGCCGTGCCTGGCGCATTAAACTTCTGACTCAGCCAAAATTTAAATTAGACCATTCGCGCCCCTCTTAAAGATTTTCATTTTCTCATACGGCTTGAGTGCATTAATACGCACTTAAATCGCTAAATCATGCTCGGTTTCGGGTACCCAAGGCTCTCTGGTCTATAATAGTTTCACAGGCACTTCCGCGTGGATGTCTTTGTTAACTCATGAACTGATATTTTCATTTAAACTGCGCATTTTGAAATGGAACACCCTAATACACCCACGCTAAAAGTGACAGCTTGGTTTTCAAACGAAAGTGGTACGTTTCAAGGAAAAAGTGCTTGGAAATTACCACCTTTGCTTGGCAATCAAGCAGTTACTTGTAGCTTGCGCCCCTGCGACTCGCTGGTGTACAAGTGCTCTCTCAGCTTCCTTATCGAGGTTTTTGGTTTTTGTTTCTTGTTTATACGATTTCACAAGTTTATGTTAATAGTTAACTAACGCAAAAATCAAAAGTGCTTTGAGATTGAGGTGCGGTCTCGGGTGCAGTAGCTCTACACTGTAAAGCCGAGAGGTAACTTTTGCGCAGATATTAATTGACCTGCCGAGGGTGACAATTTTCGACAATCACCTCACGCGCGGCAACAAACGATTTGTCGCCCTGCCCAGGGTGATGTGCCGTCGCGTCTCCTGTGTTGAGGGTAAGAATTCTTACCCTCGCTCAGAGGAGACTTTTCTCGCCGCGCTGGCGTCAAACGCTATTCGCCGCATCGGCGTGGCAAAACTTCCCAATGCGCTTCACCCCGCACGGGCGTGAAAAATCTTTCCTCTGTGGTGGTGACTCTTGCGGCCGTGGGTTGGGAAATTTTAGTTGCCGTAAGGCCTACTTCTATTCGCCACCTCTGCGAGCCAAAACTGCTCTTCATGCGCTGTTTTTGGAAACACGGTAGAAACCTCTTCCCCCTCTCCCGCACCCGCCCTCTCCGGAGGGAGAGGGACGGAGGAAGAGGAGGGGGAGGGCAAGCGGCGTGCCCGGCGGTGTCGTCGGGCCGGCGAGACAAAGGCTGGAATAAAGTGTTTCGTCGTCCGGACTCGCCCCTGCGTCGGGCTCAATGGCTCAGTTGGTTGCGAACGAGGCGAGGACGCTGAGTTGGCAGCGCCGGGTTCGGTTCCCGGCGCTGGCAGCGGTAGGCGCGTAGTAGCCGCACAAGCCATGATGTTAGTCTAAAGGCGTTACCAACTCGGATGACAGTAGGTATCCGAAATAGCAAAGTGGCGATCGCCTCGATGCGAACACCGGAGCACACCCTCCCAAACAAATGATTTTTTAATTTTTGCCCACCCTCACCCCGGGTAGCCGAAGAAATCTTACCTCTGTGTGGGCGGAGGGACTGACCGTGCGCGCGGTGCCCGCCCACGCCCCGGATGGCCGAAGAAATCTTACCTCTGTGCGGGCGAAGGGACTGTCCGTGCGCGCGGTGCCCGCCATCGCCCCGCTGCGAGATACTTTCGTCGCTCGGTTCAGGGAGATGCGAAAGAAAAATCACCCTGGGCAGAGCGACAAACTGTCCCCACTTCCAGACGGACACTATTCTTACCTTTCGGCCTCACAGTGTATTGGTTGACGAGTGACCAAACTACGTCGCCAGTGAAAGCGTCGTTTTGAATGAACTAGCAGCGGCAGCACTGACGAGGATTTTGCCCTCTCCTCTTATTTTTTCTATTTTCCCTATCTCCCACATGAAATTCCCCGGAATATTCCCTGTCACAAAATTCCCGGGAAACTAGGAACTATAAGAGGCTTCGCCAATCGCTCAGCCATAACCCAACCAAATCCGGGCTCCACGGGCTCTGTAGCTCAAACCTGTCAGAGATATAAATTCTTAAGTTTTAAGACAAAAATTCCGGCTTTAAAAGGTGCTATAGAGATTACTGTATCAATCTTTCCAGTGTGTAAATATCTGACATCATCATTTGAAAGAAGAGTAAAAACGGATTCTAAAACAAAAACATTGTGTGTTCTACCCTTCGATCAGATATGACCAAAATTTAGCGTATGAGTATAACTTTCATAGCAAAAAAATATGGGCTACAATTGCCTCTTCACGTACTTAGCTCAACCTGTTTTCGAGTTATCGTGATGACAAATTGACACTCAGACAGACGCGAAACTTTTTTATCATAACTGGAGTAATAGGCTCCGCTCATCGCTCCACTAATTTTTTTTTTTTTTTTAAATGAATTGCTACAGTAGGCCGTTTGCTGAGAATCAACCCACGCCTTTCTGGGTGTTATTTATAGTTGATGCTCAGCAGACATGTTGAAGTTCCTCTCCAGCTAGCACTCACTCGGTAGTATGCCAAACGTCGCCCAAGTTGTTCCATGAGCGTGGCTGTGGTGTTGTGGATGGCAAGCTCAGCAAACAGGACGGTGTACAAGGAGGTCATGCAGCATGCCAGGCTCGCAACCTCAAACGGCGTCTTCAGTAAGCCAAATGCCTGTCACAAACATCAAGCACTAAAAGAGAATTGCAAATATCGAATTCGCATGTACATGTATTTTGATCAACAAATACTACAAAGTGACGTATTTGCAGATCTGAAGAAGCTCTTAAGAACTTACCAACCAAGTCGCAATCTTACAATTTGCTCTTTGATTTAATTAAGGAAGAGAAATAATGTCACTAGTTAACCCCTATGGTCGTTTTTTAGCCAGCCCTCCTGCTTAAAAAAAAAACTATCTAGCAGGTTTATGTAAACGACCTGGTGTCTGTCTCGCAGTTTTAAATCCCTTAGGGAAAATAACAATGAATTTCGTTTTCCTGTAGGGTTTTATTTTTACGACTTACCCCATAGAAACCCATAAAAAAATATTCGATAAAAAATACATTTTGCGGCCTGTGGTTTTTGATTTTTTGAAGGTCAATTTATGAGCTAGAATGCTCATCTTCGAACTCAATTTGTCTTTTTGTGATACAAAACTACCCTAAAAATTTCAGATCGCTAGCTTAATACTTTCTTATCTTATTATCGTGCATACAGACAGACAAACACTCAAACAGAATGAAACTTTTTCGGTCAGTGGAGTTATGGGCTTCGCTAATCACTCAGCCAACTAACAGTAGAACTAGCTATATGTACGCTCGGGGCGGTTCACAGGAGCTAGGATTCACAAGAGCTAGAGCCGCAACAGCTAGGATCCACAAGAGCTAGGCGTCGCTAGAGCTAGAGTTCACAAGAGCTAGGCGTCGCAAGAGCTAGAGTCCACAAGAGCTAAAGTTCACAAGAGCTACAGGCAAATCGGCTGTTACCGTTTGCTGACTATACTCAGTGGTTCGCGTAGGAGCAAAGTGCGTAGATCGAGGGTCTGTCCAGTTGTGCGCA